CTCTGCAGCTTCCAAATGTGAGTTATTTCTTCTCTTACAAATGCATTTATTGTTTTGCTGTTCTGCTCTCTCATTGGCCATCTTAGCCCAGCTACTTCACTTCCTTGTCCCTCACATTCTTGTCATTATCTGTCTGTCTGTACAGACCTCCATGCCTTTATGGTTTGTACTGGGATTAAAGGCATGTATCACCACATGTGGCTCTGTTCCCTAGAATGGCTTTGAACACCCAAAACCCCTGCCTGCTAAGTGATCAGATTAAGGGCATGTGCTGCCACTGCCTGACTTTTGTGTTTACTATAGTGGCTGGATTTCCTGTGATCTCCAGGAAAGCTTTATTAAAGCACAAATAAAATATCACAACATTATTTCAACACAAATTAAAGATCACCACAGATGATCCCTGTTCTTTAGTTGGAAGTTAGGATTTTTGAGTTCAGATTACCTAAATTCAAAATACATTTTCAGCCCAAGGGAGGAATGGAGACATTATATATGTTTACGGGAAGCTATTATTTCTCTTCTATAACAGAAACAATGTACCAGGAAGATCCAGATAAATACAAATTAAAGAATAAATTTCTCTGCAGTGCTGGAGTATGTTCTTCTAGGCCACTGAGAACAGCCTGTGTTCCTTGGAGGGACACCCAGTACCCTGCTTTCTCACAGCACTAGATCTGCTTAGCCAGCTTGGCTACTATGAGCATTTTGGGATTTGCTGTGAATGTAGGGGCCACGGATAAAAAGGAGGTGAGCAAGAGATGAAGGATAGCCAGATTTCATGAATGGCCTAGTCTCTAATCAAGCTAGGTAAAACAACATATGCAATCTTGTTGCTTGTTTTTATCCTTTTGCTTCTTTGTGTTTATAGCTTAAACCATTATGTAACCACTTCCACCCCACCTTTTTCCTAGGAAATATCTTACTAGAAGATAATATCTTTTATTGCTTTCCTATGGTTGAACTTTGCCTACACATATATTTATGTACTGCTATACTTTCTGGTACCTATAGAGATCAGAAATGCGTGTCAAATTCCCTGCAACTGAAATTAAAGATGGTTGTGAGTTTCCATATGGATGCTAGAAACCAAACCCAGGTCTTCAAGAAAAGTAATGAGTGCTTTTAATTGCTGAGCCTTTCCTCAATTCCCTCACCTTTTACCTATATCACAAATCTGATTGATCTTTTCTGTATTTGATATTATTGCTATTGTTTGGTTAGTTTAGCTTTTTTTGTTTTTTGTTTTTGTTTTTTTTTTTCAAGACAGGGTTTCTTTGTGGAGGTTTGGAGGCTTCCTGGTACTCGCTCTGTAGACAAGGCTGGACTCAAACTCAAAGAGATCTGCCTTCCTCTGCCTCCCAGTTGCTAGGATTAAAGGCAAGTGCCACCACTATGGAAATATTTTATTTGTGCTGAAATGTGATTTTATTTGTATGCTAATAAATAAAGTTGCCTGGGGGTCAGAGCTAATAGCAAGGCATGTAGTAGAAGTCTGACAGTGGTAGCACATGCGCTTAATCTGATCACATGTCAGGCAGATCTCTGTGTGTTCAAGGATACAGCCAGCTTGGAGGCACATGCCTTTAATCCAAGTACCGACCATAGAGACCTGGAGGTCTGTATAGACAGGAAGTGATGAGGAGGTCATGTGGTTGAGTTTAGACCAATGAGAAGGCAGAGCAGAAAGTCAATAAAAATACAGACACACAGGAAGTAGGTCTCTTTTCTCAGGGGAAGGATGGCAGCGGCTGGTAAGCTAAAGGCTATTCACTAGTGATCTGACCTCTTGGGCTTTTAAATCTTTATTTGGCTCTGTGTTTTTTATTTAATAAGACTGTTTAGAATTGCACCTACACACCACTGCCTGGCTTAGTTTAGTTTTTTGAGACAGGATCTCTGATATCCCAGAATGACCTTGACCTCATTTGAATCTTTGAACCTCTGATTCTTCTATGTCTCATGAAGTGCTGGGATTACAAGTGTGTCAGTCTTCACTAGCCAATAAGGGCCTCCAGTCTGACCAGCTATTCAGAATTGGTGGAGGGCTCTTGCTGGGGCCAGGATGCAGACTTGGCTTTGTAGCAGGCTGGGCTTCAGTGCTTTTGTGTGACATTCTGTGAGTGCTGCTTCAAGGAGTTGAGAGGGGAGCATGGGCAATCTGGAATGTCATGGTTACAAGGGGCTGTTGTCCCCAGATGGGTAAAGTGGATGATGAGCCTCTGGAGCTGGTGTGGCTCTGCTCTCTGGGGTATAGTGGGAGCGAGCAGACAGATTTGGTGTCTTGTGAGGTCCCATGTGTTTCTTGTAACTCCCTGGAACCAGATGCTTCTCTCTGAATAACTTTACTCCATGAACTCCCTCTGTGCACAGCATTGGGAGCAGGGAGCTATGTGAGGAAACATTTTTGTAGTCCAAGGCAACAGGCTCTCAGTACATCCAGGGAAGCAGGTTGCCAAATTCATAGAGGCCTAGTTTTTCTAGTATCTTCTAGACATTTTGCACCTCACATTTAACATTCAGGTGAAAGATTCATTTGTATTTAATTTTGTGGAAGTTGTAAATGATATTTCTTATTTTGGGTAGCACTCCACTTCCTGTGATGTAGAAGAAAGGAATTGTTGGTGTAAGGGGTTTTCTCAATGCTCAGGAGATGGTAAGTCACAGAAAAAAATTAGCTAAAGGATGACTACCTCTAAAATACCTCAAAGACAAGTATATCCTAAAGAGACCTGTTACAGCTTAGGATGCTAGCATATACATTTCTTCACCAAGATTGTCCAGATATATGGCTCCAAAGAAAGGGAGACACTCCTAATTTACAATCAGACACTAGACCCATCCCCATATCAAAGAACAGGACTCTAACCAGTTGCTCAAGGGGACATTACAGGATCACAACCAACATTCAGGCCTGGTGTGCCATAAAGGTTCAGTTTTCTTCTTATGAAAAGCATAGTATTGAAAGACAGGCAATGAGACACAAGGTGACCTGCCAGTCAGAAGTGGTGCAGGGTCCTTCTGGTCACCAGCTTCAGGCTTGTCTTTGAAGAGGAGCTGGTGCCAGTGGATTTGTGTGATGTGCTGTCTGTGCTGCTTTGCCTCTCCTGTCTCTTCCTGTCTATCTTCCTTGTTTCAATAGAGATTATTGGCTATTGCTTTCTTGTCCAGTCTGACTCTAGTGGCACATCTAAGTGGATTGGTGTGAGAATGAAGAAAAGGCAGAAAGATATAACAATGGGACCCAAAGAAAAGCTGGGAATAGATGCTCTCTGTTCTCTGGGATGAAACCACAACACCTGCGAAGCTCTGTGTCAGTAATACCTATGTTTGAATAGAGTTAAAGATTTACTGCATGGTGATAAAAGAAAGGCAGGGTTACTATCTAGACCTATGCACATACTCATGCTTGGCACATCTCAGTACTTTCAGTCACTTTAGCCTTTAATTGTTGAGGTCTAAACATCTGAAAAGAGAAAATTATGTTGGAGAGTTTTTGCCCAAACTATTAAAATTCTCATGAGATCAAAGGAGGATTTTTAATGTTCCAAGCCTCAAGCAATGAAGGGAAGTTCATTTGCCTTTTTGTGTGTGTCTGTGTCTATGGTCCTTGATCTATCTCTGCCCATGTAAACAGCTCTAGTTCACTTACAGACATGATCAGGCCTTATGTTGTTCACCATATATACTTCCAATGATTGAATCCATGTAAACAGCTCTAGTTCACTTACAGACATGATCAGGCCTTATGTTGTTCACCATATATACTTCCAATGATTGAACCTTTTATAATTTTCCTAAAACAATCTACCTTGCCTTTTTATGATATGCTTTTTTGGTCATTTTCTGTAATGCAGTCACTGGCATTAATTACACAATATCAGTATAAAATGAATATCCAACATTCCAAAGCAGCAGAAATTGAACACAAATTTTATTGTATTTATTGATAATTGAGAAAAATTGGGGGCTGATTGGATGTTCAAACCATCAATATTATATTCCATAAAATCTCAAATATTAGCAACAAAATATTTATATAAAAGCTATAGCAGTCTCAGATCAATATCCTGTACCATAAAATATACAGAAAATTGTGCGGAGACTTTGACTTGATATAGTTATCCATAAAATTATCCTGGCATAAGTCTTAACATTTTAAATTTTTATTTCTTTCATATCTTGTCAAATTAATCCTATGTCATTTTAATATATGATTATTGTGTAATTCTGATTGACACATTGCTGTCTATGTAGATTGTTTTCCAAGGAACTTTTGTGAACATAAATTTTATTTCTTGGTAAAAATGTTTCTAAAATCACAGCAAGCATAAGGCTTCTTGATGTTTCTCTTCTGACACTGAGTAAGGTTTTAACATTTGCTAAAGTTTTCCTTCCACTACCCATACTATAGAGAATCCTTTTATTGCATGAGTTCTGGGGTAATAATTACCAATTGAGTTTGTTTCTTTCATAAATTTTCTTACCTGTTCTAAGTCTTGAGCTCCTTGTAAAGATTTTTTTTTTAATTCTTAACATGTGTTAAGTTTCTTCCCATTAGTGATACTCTGTTGGCTTGAATATTTGAGGACTCCGTATGTGAGGATCAAGATTTAAAAACCTAAATAAGGTTTTCCCACATGCTTTGTATTTGTAAGCTTTCTCCAATGTATGGTTATAGTGAGTTTATCCTGAGATGATCCATTGGAAAAGAATATAACACATAGCACATTCATTACAATTTTAAGGGTTCTGCCTTCAATGGGTCTTTAGTAGCCTTGAACATGTGGCAAAGGATTTGTCACGATCAGTATATTTTTAACTTTCTTCTCCATTTTGGATTCTTTGAAGGACTTGAAGTATTGAGGCCCTGGTAAAGGACTTGCCACATTCTTTACATCTGTAATGTTTCCTTCCTGTGTGGAGTTTGGGATGTCTTTGTAGATGTGAGATCTGTCCAAAGAACTTGTCACATTCTTTACATCTCTAAGATTTTACTCCTGAATGTATTCTTTGATGAATATAAAAATTTGAGCTACGAGTGAAATACTTTCCACAATCTAAACATTTGTAAGGTTTTTCTCCAGTGTGTATTCTTTGATGAACATGAATGTTGACCTCTGAGAAAATGACTTGCCACAATATGAACATTTATAAGGTTTCTCTCCAGTGTGTATTCTTTGATGAACATGAAGATTTGACCTGTGAGTAAAGGATTTGCCACAATCTGAACATTTATAAGGTTTCTCTCCAGTGTGTATTCTTTGAACATGTAGTGTTGACCTCCGAGTAAAGGACTGTCCACAATCTGAACATTTATAAGGTTTCTCTCCAGTGTGTATTCTTTGATGAACATGTAGTGTTGACCTCCGAGTAAAGGACTTTCCACAATCTGAACATTTGTAAGGTTTTTCTCCAGTGTGTATTCTTTGATGAACTTTAAGGTTGGGGCCTACAATAAAGGACTTTCCACATACAGCGCATTTATGAGGTTTTTCTCCAGTGTGTAATCTTTGATGAACTTTAAGTGTTGAGCTATGAGTAAAGGACTTTCCACATACATTACATTTGTAAGGCTTCAATCCAGTATGTTTTCTTTTATGATTTTGAACTGTTGAGCTCTGTGTAAATGACTTGTCACATATATGACATTTGTAAGGTTTCTCTCCAGTGTGGATCCTCTGATGAACTTTAAAATTTGAGGCCTTGTTAAATGACTTGCCACATTCCTTACATCTATAAGGTTTCTCTCCAGTGTGGCTCCTCTGATGAATATGAAGTGTTGAACTCTGAGTAAAAGACTTGCCACATGCTTCATGTATGAAAAGTTTTTCTCCTGAATCATTTCTCTGAGGAAGATGAAGAGAAAACCCATGGGCAAACAACTTGCCATACTCTGTACATTTAAAAGCATTCTCTTCAGTGTGGATTTTACAATGAGTTCTATATTTTGATTCATGGGAATGGAAACTGTCATGCTCTGGACATTTGTATGATTCTTTTGTCATATGGATTTTATGATGCTCCTCAAGTACTGAAAATGTAGAAAACAACTTTCCACATATTTTACATTTGCACATTTTTTCTCTAGTATGAACCACATTAATTCTGAAAAGGTCTGAGCATCTCCTGTAAATCCTTCCAAATATTTTATTAATTTGTCCAACACTGAATCTTGGATTCCCCTCAAATTTTGATGGGTGGGTAAAATACTGTCTACATGCTTTGAATGTTGGTTGTTTCCCATCAGTGTGTCTTGAGTCATTTTGAATAGCTGAATGGAAATTGCAGGATCTGAATGGAAATGATGCAGAGTGAGCTTTGTGAGGAGAAGCTGGAACTTCTTCATCTATACTGTCAGGAATGTCAGTGATGGCTACTACAAAAAGATCATTTCCATCAGCACATGTTTCATGCTTTTCATTGTCAGATATACATGTCCAGAACTCTCTTATGTGTAATTCACCGAGGCTATTACTTTCAAACTGTCCTGATATTTCTCTTTGGTAAGTATCCTGGGTACACTCTTTTGTGAATGACTCCTGAATGGGATAACAAAAGAGAGCTGGAAGAAATGAAAGGCAATTATTATCTAACTGTGTAGAATTAGACAATAATAATATAGAAACTTTTTTATAAAATGACACCAATATGAGGTAAGTAGCAAAAAGATTACACAAAAATCTTCAGTACTTCTTCCATAAGGAATTAATGTCCAAACATGATGAACACGGAGAAGGCCATTTCATGCACTTGAATTTTATAATATGTAAAATTTGAAAAGGTCTTCTTTAAGCATGTCATGTAACCAACAACTGTAAATATAATTGTTAGAATACAAAATGAAACTATTAGCCATTATTAAAAATATTCTGTTTATTTGGAAATTGCATTATCAATTTAAATCAAAATATCCTTTCTAAGCAGATAAATGATAAAGTGATAGTAATAAAAATATCATATATAGATTTTATTAATTCTATAATTAGTGATTAATTATTTAATACATGTTAATATGTAGTTACTCAGGGAGAGTAATTATTGAAAAGAAATGAATAAAATGATCATGAAAAAAATATGCCTATCAGGTCCACAGATCTTTATGTACATGAGGAGAGAATGTTTCAAAATCCCCACAATTACATTGATAATTCTATAGGTCTTTCAAATTTTCAGATGCCTAAGAATATCTTAAATTGATAAAAGACTGGCCTTTCATCTCAGCATTTGGAAGGCAGAGGCAGAGGCAGGTGCAGGTGATTATCTATGGTTATGAGGCTGTCCTGATCTACCTATTCATTTCCTGGCCAACCAGGGCTACATGGTTACACATCCTGTCTCAAAAAAGGAAAGGTAAGAAAAGTAAATTATCTGTTCAGGCAATTAAAAAAAAGCCAGTAGAGTCAATTAGGCAAAGTTGCCCTGGGCAACATTAAGATGGATGGGTTTCTCCCTTGTAAAATTAGTTGTCAGCAAAGCAAACCTTGATCTTGGCCTCAGTATGTCCTCTCCTAGTGTAACTAATGATAGAACCACCCCATATGGCCCTTCAATGTGAATCACAGTCTGACTTTTTCTTAAAGTGTTCTTCACTGACTTGAATGCCGACTTTGAATGGTGGCCAGAGTACGTTACAATCTGTTTTTCCAAAGTCTTAGATCTCTAATATGTTTGGATTCAAAAACACAAAAAAGCAAGCTGGACAGTGGTGGCACATGCCCCTAGTCCCAGCACTCAGGAGACAGAAGCTTTAATCTCAGAACTCTGGAGGCAGAGGCATGCAAATCTCTTTGAGTTCAAGGCCAGCTTGGACTAAAGAGCAAACTTCAGGACAGCCAGGACAGTTACACAGAGAAATACTGTCCCAAAAGAACATAAAAAACAGCAAAAACAACAAGTTGATAAATGACATGTGAAATTAACAATTTTTAAATGTAAATTTAATTTAAATATAATTATATCATTTCATTTCAGACTTATCCCTGCCACTTGCCTTTCAACTCTTTCCATATCCCCTAATAAATGATATGAACTCCATTTGATAATGGTTACTCATATGTATTTATGTGTATATTTTTCATATATATATATATACCAATTACCTATAATTACAAAATATTAGTCCAGACTTATTCTTAATGATTATATCATTTCAGGACTATTCATTTTGCATTAGACAAGCAATAATGAGGATAATCGATAACAGAGGATAATTCTCCTTGTCACACCATTCATTAGGTTTCCATAGTTCCTTGGTTAGGGATTTGAGATACAGGGACACTACAAATTGGGAAACAAAAAATCTGGATGGTTCTTCAGTTATAATGGAAAGCATGTCCATGGAAATGGTGAAAGAGGATTGAGAGACAAATAACACCAAGGTTTTCTGATAATTCCTCAAGAAAATATATTATTCTGTATTTTCCTGCAATTCTACACCACATAAGTGTGAGACATAAGGGAAGTAATGACTTCCAGGCTGACAATACCACACAAAAGAACCAGAGATTAGCATCAACCTTAACATAAAAGCATAAGAATCAAAATTTCTGGTATAAAATAAATGTTATGTGTAATGAGGATATTATGACTTTATTCTTTTCTATCTGTATCCCCTTGAACGTCAAATTATCTTAGACTGACACTTAAGAATTTAATCAGAACATAAAACAGGTATGGACAGAGTGAGTATTCTTTATTTTCCCAATTTTAGAAGAATTGTTTTGAGTTTTCTCCATTTAGAATGATTATATTGGTAATTAGCCTGTAATAAACACATTCTATTATATGGAGATATGTTCCTCCCACTACTGAATTTTTATAATGAAGGGATGATGTACTTTGTCAAAATCATTTTCTGCATTGAATGAAGAGAATATTTGATCTCTTTCTTATAGTCAGTTCTCCAAATGTATTCTGTGTATTGGTTTACTCATGTTGATTCCCATTAGCATCTCTTGGTACATAATTATTTAGGGGTATTCTTGAAATGAAAATATTCCATTTTGTCATATAATTAGAAATGTATTGGTGTTAGTGCTTCTCTGATGGTCTGGTGGGATTCTGTTCTGAATCCATTTGGCTTTCTTTAGTTGAGAGATTTTTTTTATTCCTTCTATTTAATTTCATAGCATGTGATATGATAAATTATTTAGGTCACTTGATTTATCTCTGTTAGGGTACATGCTAAGAAATTCATTCATTTGTTTTTGATATTATATATATTGTGGGTAAACAGACGGAACTGAGAAAAATTATCCTAAGTAACTTAACCCAGAAAGACAAATGCTGCATATTTTCTCAAATTTGTGGATGCTAGCTTTCAAGGTTTTGGTCCCTATGTTTTCTACAGAGTTTAGGTTGTTGGTATGGGGCCAATGGGGATGTAGATTTTTTCCACAGAGTGGATAATTAAAAATAGTACTGTTTAAAAAAGACAGAAATTAAAACAGTATTACATCATGAAAGTTATGATAGAGTAGTGTAGAAAAGCAAACACAAAGTGGAATAACAAAGAATACAGTCCTTTCCATGATAATCTTAGAAATATATTTATATATTTATTGACTGTATATATGTGGTCATATATATGATTAGATGGTAGTTTCAATAAACCTCTTTCCACTGCCTGTGTCTTGGTTATTGAACTTTGATCATCAGATTTGAAGGAAAGCATCTTTATCTTTATGGACCACATGAGAAATCTTTTGAAGAAAAATAGGGAATCATACTTCTGTAGAAGCTTGATAAAACATGTACATGCCTAAAAACTATTTAAGTGTCATTACTGTACAATGGTGTAGTAAATACCCAAACTTTAGATCATATCCAATAAATAAAGTCTAATATATAAATAATGGGTTGCATTGTTTTCTTTTTTTTTTTTTTTTTTTTTCGAGTTAGGGTTTCTCTGTGTAGCTTTGCGCCTTGCATTGTTTTCTTGTGTTTCAAGAAAACATAGCATGAATTGCCTTTGTGATTAGTTACCATCCAGAACCCAATGATAAGGCTCACATATTTAAAACATTGCCGTAAAGCCAATTCCATTGTTGGAACATGTACCTTAAGGTTAATGTAGCCAAAAACTGAGACCAAATTGGTCATAAATCCAAGATAAGAAAACTATGATTATTCTGCTTAGTGAAAATGAAATTAAACTAATGCTATATTCTTATACCTATAGATTTGTACATCACTCATCCATCACTAGAAAAGTGTAATATGCAGATTTTTGAGAACTGAGCCCTGTCTTGGATTCCTTTATCTTAACCCTTGCATCAGGGTTCAGATACCTATGAAGAAATGGATGCAGAGAGAATGTAAAGTCAATAAATGGTAAATGACTCTAGGGAAGAAAAAGTTTACAAACATCTTAGGACCAATGGCCGTACAATCACCAAGTATATGACAGTAAGGTCAAAACCCACAAAAACTCAAAACAGACAAAATCTCAACTTATAAAATGGAAAGTAGGCCCAAAGACAAAACTTTTGGACAAGAATATATGTATTGTCCCTCGCTTCCAGAAGTAAGAAAATCTGGTTTTCAATTGAGTAACACCAGGGTATATCAATCATACTCAAAGTCTTGTGTTCAGAACCAGTTGGCCAGCACAAATATTCCTTGATTTTTTTTTATGTATTTTCTCTTCTTTCTTTGACATAGAGAATGAGATGGGGTGCAGGAATCATGACATTGGGTTAGTGTGGTAAAGGGATAGTATGCAAAGAGGTTAAAAGAAATACAATTCAATTGATCCAGATACAGTGTGAAAATTTCCCAACAAAACAGAAAAAATCTAGGATCACTGTCATACAGGAGAAAAATTCAGACATTTATTAAAAAACAAAATAAATCCCCACATACATTGTCAAATTGCTACTGACATACTTAATTTCATCTAATCACCATTATCATGAAATGAGAGAAGATAATGTAAAATTCTCTGTGTGCTAGATCCTAGTACACAATTCTAAATGAAATTCTCAGGCATTGCTTGTAGTGAGGAGCTAGGCTAATCCCACTGCAGTTATGGTTTTTCTTTAGTTTGTACTCTACATATAAACTATTGTTTCCTTCCACCTTACCTGGTTCTGTGTCTTCTGCTTGCTCTATATTCACAATCCAAGGTTCTTTGTTCTGTTCAAGACAGGTGACTAGCTCTGGTTTTGATACAGAAAGGCCTGTGAATTAGGAGAGACACCATAATTTCTTTACATGATGTGGAAAAGAGTTGGGTTCTAACACAGGCTTATACTCTGTGGATATGAAGTTACATAAGAAAAGATTCATAAGTAAACTCTTATTAGTGCATAGGTGACAGGTGTTGTAGACTTTTAAGAAATTTATAATTTTAATTTTGTATACATTCAACTTTTGTGGTGAGCCACAAGAATATGACATAGGGAGACCAGCTGTATATAATAAGCTATACCTTGACTGATCAAGGTTGTCCTTCAAGAGAAAAGCCATTTATCATGGCTTTCTGCCTCTGAGATCCCTGCTCTCTTTTTAGTATTTGAATTGGGTATCTGCCTTTTGCAAACCTCCCCTTTAGCTATGATCATCCCAAACAAAGCACTGAAGGATTAGCAGGGAACAGGAATTAGCTCAGACTATTCCTTGTCTTCAGGCCTAGTAGCATTCCAGAGCAATTGACTGAGAATAAAGGAGGTTTTTGTACATCCAGGTGAAGTGATAGGTGGTACAGCATTCCTGTCTGACACAGACCCATGTTGCTAGAGAGAAGAGAAGAAGACAGAGATTCTGTAGAGGGTAAGGCAGATTTCTTGAAGAATTTTCTGAGAGTCAGGAGTAAGGAGCTAGAAAGGAGAGATGAAGGACAAAGGAACAGAGGATGAAGATGAGGTCAAAAGCATAAGGGCTTAGTAATTCCTGGGGCTACTCAGGACAGACAAAGTAGATACAAAGAGGAACCAAGACTCAGGATGGAACGGAAGCTGTAATATATAGAATTTTTTCATAGAGGAATAAAGTAAATTGACAAGGAGTAAGGTATATGTATATTTCTTTTTCCTCAGATACCCTACACTAGATCGAGCATCTTGCACAGTATTATGGGAGAAATTTTCTCAGGGCTGGCCTTGGGAAAATTCCATTAAACTTTTCATACATTACCCCCATTTTAAAAATAAAAATGTTGGAATCATACCGCATTCACACATTATTGCTACTGAGTGACTGCAAATAACCAATATATGGGACTAAAGGGAGTATTCGGCTAAATTAAAAGACCATTTAGAATAAGAAAAATTTCAGTGTATATTACACTTACCAATATATAGGAATATTTGGAAGCTGGTATTCATTGATAGAAAACAATTCAAAGTGTTAATACAAGCTGTTACATATTCCTAAGGCTAAACAGCAATGATGAAAGAATTTATTCTCACCTACAGAAACTAGGTTGCTGTAGTTCTCCAACATGACCTCTCTGTATAAATTTCTCTGAGCTGTGTCCAGGCATTCCCATTCTTCTTTGGAGAAACTGATGGCCACGTCCTTGAAAGTCAATGGATTCTGAAGTGAAAATTCAATTTTTCTTTGTTATGTTGGTTTGAGTCCTTATTTGCCCCAGGAAACAGTATTTAACTAAAGAACTCTCTGTGCTATCAGTAATCAATCTGCAATTTTCAAATGTTATACATTAAGGGGGAGGATGTTGTGACATTTTCATGAGATCAAAGTGCCCAACATCTAAACATTTCATGAAATATATGACTTTTCTCAGTGATAAGTAATGTTGGAAGTTGCCCTCTGTATCAATTGAGTTTCAATATTCATCTCTAATATCAGAAAATCTGTCAATATTTCAGGTCATGAACTGATGTAGATAAGTCATACTGGGAAATAAAAGAGGCAGGGAAGAGGGGAAAGCAGGATATAAAACAGAAATGACAGTGATAATACAGAATTTATTTCAAAAATATAACAAAATATAAAAATATTATTTTCTTACAATGAGGAACTATCATGAGGGTTGAGAGCTCTGCAAATGAAGCATTTATGTGTGAAATGTCAACCTGTCCCATCCTTGTGCAAACATTTACCTGAGACCATGCCATCTGTTTGTCCCATCTTTTGGGTATTGTCAGGAAGTTTATCTTAAAGTTTCACCTTTCTGATACTATTCTGTGAGAAAATGTAACAGCACCTGCATTCAATGCTATCACACTCAGAGACCAGAAAGCAGGTAAAAATATCCACAATCTGTGACTTGGGATACAGCAGGGATGCAGAAACCATGAACTTTTACACATAGATCAAAACTTAGCTTCTCCTTTATTCCATTGGGATGTCCATTATTCCAGCAGATTGTGGAAATCTCTACAACCTGGGTATGTGGCTTCAGTGCTCTGCTTTATACTGTGCACAGACATTTTAAATTTGCTCTGAATACAGCTGTAAGAAGTTGTGGTGACTCCTTCCTCTTATTCCATTTCCCTGAGATCTTTAATTAAAACCTGACTGACACCTGTATTTGAAATAGTGGATGAAGTCTGAGGAAGAGCCCCAGCTGAAAACATTTCTCACACTGGGTAAGTAATACACTTGCCTACAGCCAAGGCCCAGCAGGAAACTGATGCCTCACTAATGTCTCCCTGGAGGCATTCTTTTTAATTTCCATGTTCCTTTCGGAAATTCCACTATTTTACAGTTTTGCAGTGAGACAAATGATTAGATTCTCCCTTAAGTTTATTTTAAACAGTGAATATGCTTCTTTTGAATTCACATGCAAATTTTGTAACTAAATAATCACATCCCTGCAGCCAGATTAGTACTTTTGCTTCTTATTGAAGACACTTCAATTCCAACCACTTTAATTTTCCATGTTGAAACTTTTTGATTGTTTGTGAAATCCACATAAATATAAGTACATTTTGCCAACCAGTTCTCCATTAGTTCATTTGATCAAAAATGTACTATATAACCATAGGATGTAACATTGAATCAACTCCCAGGGGAGTGATTGTTAGCAGGTGTCAGCACAATGGAAGAGCATTGCAAGTTTACTGTAAGGTTAGTAGCTAGCAAACAGAAACAATGGAATAGTCTCTTTGAATCTAGTCACAAAACAGAATAATAAACAGAAGAAAATTTTCCTGATAGGATAATTTTGTACCACCTTACGACTGGAAAATTTCATTTGGAAGTTTGTATTACATTTGAACACTTCAGCGTAGTACATAACACAGTATAATTTCATAGAAATACTACTTTAAACATTATCCATTGTCAGGAAGACATTCCATCCTTTTACATAATGCCTCTTTTCTGGAATAGTCTATATTGAGCAAATAGATACCTGGCCAAAAGGACCATGGAACATGGTTTCTTTCTCATTTGTATGAGATGATTCAATTCCATTTTCAGTAGGACATGTATATGAATGTATATTTGTATATCAAATAAATATACTATACATTAATGCAGAGAATTTATTTTGAAAAAAATCAAGTGAGAAAGTAGTGGAAAGATGCATACATTCATGGGACATTCATTCAAAAATCTTTACCTTGACTGCATCCGAAAAAGAATAAAGCCTTGTAAAAACTGAGAGGTAATATAAAGGTTTGGGATCACTGCAAAAAAGCATTTGTAGGAGAACAGGCAACAAATCTCACCTCCATACATACATTTACCTGAGAAAAAGCCATCTCTCTTTTCCCTTCCGTCTGGATCCTCTTAGGAAACTTTATCTCAAAATTTCACTTTCCTGAAAATATGTTGGTTTCAAAGCAAGAAAAGCCTTGTATAATTTCTAACACACTAAGAGACTGGAAGGAGGATCAAAAAGCTCACTCTCTGTACTTTAATGGAACAGTGATGTAGAACAACATGAGCTTCCAGAGGAAGACAAAAGTGTAGCTTCTACTTTCCTGCATTCAGGTAGGTAGACTGTTTGGCCAGCATGAATGACTTTAGTACAGACCTGGCAAAATGGTTAAATTGACTTGCTAGACCTAGCAGAGTCAGGTGGGCATTTCAAATTGATGCTGAGCACAGCTGACATCGAGAAGCATTAATGAATCTTATATTTTCTTACTCTGTGGTGGTTGATTAAAGCAAAATGAGGCTTCCATGGAGGATAACACACAGTATCTGTGGGGTATTTAAGATGAAAGTAATTCTTCAACTGGGTAAAAAAATGTAGCTGCTTGTGTCCAAGAAGCATGAAGGCAATGTATTCCCCTCTACAGTCTCCACTGACTTTTTCTATTGGTTACCATAATACAATTTATAATATGAAGATTCTGCAACTTTGCCATGATATCCATGATTAAAACTTTCACAAATATATTTTCACAATTACATTAATTCACCCAGGAACACTGTTAAGTAATTATGGGTGAAAAATGAGGAGACAGGCACTGGTGGTACATACCTTTAATCCCAGCATTCGGCAGGCAGAGGCTGGTGAATCCCTGAGTGTTCAAGGACAGCCTGGTCTACAAAGTGAGTTTCAGGACAGGGTCCAAAAGCAACACAGAGAAACCCTGTCTTGAAAAATCAAAAAAGAAAAGACAAATGAGAAGAGACAGGTGGTATTTTTAAATTACGTGAGTCCCTTAGAAACCTCTAATACCTTAAGTTTTTGTGAAAAATACTGAATTCCATCCTTTAACATCGTTTTTTTTTTTGGTCAATTTAATATATATTGTTGGTTACAAAATGCCCTCCTACATCAGCCTGATTTACAAAACAGGATTTTATTTATTTAATTATAAAAGAAATTCATGGAACACCCTCTGTAAGTGACATTGACAACATAGAAATCTGCAGACATAATCAGTTTATCTTTGTTTTCTACATGAATTACATAGTAATTACTCAGACACTTCATTTATATTTGGAATTAACTAAAAAGAAATATTTTTTTGTCTTTTTTCTTGCAATAAGGTAAGGTATTTACTAGAATCAGTGCTGTATGACATGCAGAAATGAAGAAAGGGCAGGAATTTCATGGTGTTGTTTTAATATCCATGTTCAATTTTCAGTTCCTACAACCTATGCATATTTTTTTCAATAGGATTCTAATAAACATTAATTCCTCTCATTAAAAGGAAAGTCAAATTTTCAAAAGCCCTAAACAAGGTTAAAGAGAAACTAATTCTAACCTGAAGAAAATGCAATGTCCTTGTTTGGGTAGAAAATTCTGCAGCATAACCACCTCATTCATAAATGAATAAAACTCTCACCACAATCCAGATATGTATGTCAACATTCTGCCGAACAAAAACATACTGGAACTCAGAGAAGGAAGAAGGAAATAAAACTAGGGGCTGATTTAAAAGTAACCAGTTTAGAGAAATAGACAGAAGCATAATCATAACAAATAACACCAGCCATGTTCTTCTCCTTACTCACAGCAAGCATAACAATTACAACTATTAATTTGCCTGTATTTTCCCAGCAATTTATTTGGTAAGTGAATGCAAACTAATGGCTTCCTACAAGACAAATCTGGTATCTGAATTGCATGGTTATTAGATACAGAGTATCATGTAGTCTCTGACTCTATCAATTCCATACCTGCAGAAGGCACAGTAGACTCACTGAGATTAGGTGTGGAATCTGCCTGGACAGTGAAAAGATACCTTCTGTAACCATGCTTTTACCACGAGGTTCTATACCAAAGATTTTTAATTTAAGAGCAAGGAGAGTATATATCTAGAACAACTTAATGGATGTTTTGTCCTGAAACAGACACATTTCAATTCATGGACATAAGGCAGAGAAACACTACAAACATATGCTCCACTAGGTTTGAATTAAATGCTGACTCTTTTCTCCTAATAAACTGGGATTTACACTTGGTCAAGTACAATTAGAAATAATTTTTCTAAGTCAGGAATAACCTATTTCTCATAAATCTTTTCTCCCTTTTTCCTTGTAGTTTCTCTTTACTGTTGGCTCCAATTATTACTGCTCTGAGGAAAGGACAAAAGTCATCTGAACTAGTTTGTGATACATTGGAAATGGAAAGTACAGTGTACTTTCCTTGAAATTTTAATGAAATGGAACAATATGTCTCTATAACTACACATAAATAAGCTTGCACTTGATTAAGTCAGACACATGATAAAGCAAGTACGCAGTGAGCAGAGTCTTACATTATTCAAGAGCATACTTCAGCTTAGGGACCCACAGTGTCTTGCACCTTAGTATTCAACTACTTTACTTAATTGACACAATTAAGATAAGACCCAGTATGATTGACATAATTTGTTCCATAATGGCAATTCTCCTTAACATGTGACAAAATCATTTGTTATAGAGGACTAATGTTTTCTAAGGACAGACCTAACTCCCTTCACACAGTGGCAAGGAGCTACCACACGGAAACACACAGATACATACACACCACACAAATATGTGTACACACAACATTAACAAAACAGAAGATGCATACACTATTCTATACTGTTGAATAATTGCATTTAAGGAGGCCACTGATTTCCTGGAAATGTGTGATCTATAGTATCTGTTGTCATGTAAAAAATCCTTCATTTTAAATTCTCTGTGGGATTCAGGTCTTTGAATATGACTTCCTAAATCCAGATCATACCAAATTCACAATGTGACCATGAGAAACAGAGAGAACACCACAAGTTTTGAAAAGTCAGTGGATTTTGGCTGTGTTTCACATACTTTCCAGTCATGTTCAGTGAAGAAGTCTACTAATGCTCACAAGATCCATGCTCATAGGAAAACTGATATTTCATGAGAGAAAACCAACAACACACACTAAGATAACTGCTTGATGACATCAAAGCAGTTTATAGGAAAAAACATTCTGTGCAAAAACAAACTAATTAAAATAATAATAACCAGGGCAGGATGATCACATTTTTATGAACATTGGTACAGATTTGAAAGAGACAAAATAGAAAATTATAAAACAGAACAGACAGAATTGAGGGTCCCAAAAAGAGAGGCAGTAGCAGAACCTGAGAGAAGTGATGGTTCAGATCCATTTTGTGCCTATCTAAGACAATTGAGAGTGGTTATGACAAGCAGGGGCTAACTCTGAGATCACAACATCATGAGCTAAACAAAGTCTTTATCCATGAAGATGACATAGATCTCACTTCTTCAATAAAATGAGTAGTCTTTTGTCCATGTGCTCCATCAACTATTAAAATCTGGACAAATCATAACAACAGAAATTGAACCAGGTAGCCTTGGAATGAAATACCACAGGCAAGAGTTCAAACAAGCTTTTCTTCATTTGAGATGATTTTCCTCAAATCTCATGAACTTATTTGCTTTCACATGATAGTATAGGTATACACACACCTACCACATGAACACACCACATGCACTTAATTTTCCGAGTTTTCTGTTGGAGTCATCTTTCGGTGTAACAGAACTCAGTATTTCTTTTACTTATTGAGTTTTCTGTTAATGTTTTTATTGGGGGAAGTCTTATTTATAGATAAGTATTCAGTTGTCTATGGAAAAAAATCAAAACTTTGCCTTAAAGTATGGGAAAACAGGCAAAGAAAAGAACACACTAGATTTACTTCTTATATCACTTAAAATATAGAAATTTTCTTACAGAATAAATGCAGTCTGCATTATGAATATACCTCCAATTGTTGGTGTTTGAGTGGTTTGATTTCTAGTAATAAATACAACATTTCTTCTACTCTTGGGAATACTCTAAGCTCCAATATGACACTGACTCATTGTTAAAATCAGCATGGTATATTCTACAATGTTAGATAGGTACTAAGATTAAGGAAATTTTCTGTGAAGTTTTATGACATTAAGAAAATATCAAGTATAAGTATTTATTCAAATTATACTCCACATCATTCTGTTAAATGATTAAAGAGTGACAATAATCTTCAATAAAATTGTTGTAGATGAGTATGTGTGATGTATGTTATCTGTATCTGTGGGTTTCCCCATCATGATCTTGTCATGTAATCCTTCCTCCCTCTCTATGACTGGACTCCAGGAGCTCAGCCCATTGCTTAGCTAGGGATCTCTGCATCTGCTTCCATCATTTACAGTCACAGCCTCATGTGGTACTGATAAAGATTCAAAATCATTCTTCTAAACCACTAATATTAAATGCAAAAATATTGTATGCAACTTCTCCTCATAGTAGTCAAAGTATTCCAAGTATCACACTTGGCAAACATTTATGTTATAACTACCAGGAATGACTACTTTTATAAGGTAAGACCTTGCCAGAACATGATGTTATGTCATACAAATAAAAAATAAAAAACCAAAGAAAAACATCCAGTTGTGTGCAAATTTATTCAACACATATCTGAAGTGTTCTTTAAATACTAATACTGTTTTTAAAATTTCTTTGTGGGTGTATGTGTGTATATTTGTCTGTGTATGTCTCTTTGTGTGACGTGTTTGTATTTGTGCTTGTGTTTGTGTGTATGTGTTTGTGTGGTGTGTGGTTTATGTGATCTTTGTCTCTGTTTATGTTTGTGTGACTTTATGTTTGTGCACATATTTGTGTGTATGTGTGTTTTTGTGTTTGTGTGTATAATTTGTGTTTGAGAGCAGTGTGTGTATTTTTGTGTGGTGTGCATGTTTATATGTATATTGTTCATGTATTTTTGTATGTGTGTGCATGTGAAAGAGAGAGGTGTGTTTGATGTGGGTATCTGTTTGATGTGTAGTGCACATACATGCTAGACCTCATATATAGTAGCCAATGAACAACTTTGAGGACTTGGTTCTCTCTATCATGAGTTACCAGGATCAAGCTTATTGCACTTGTATAGCAATGTGCTGTGACTTGATGAGTCATCTCAACATCTCACTAATACATGTAAACAAACTTTATAAAATAATTGCTGGCACCTAAAGTCAGTGCAAATATACTGTCTGGTGTGATTGCTTTTTGAACAAACAAGAACTAACTCAGGTTTACTACTTATCCATCTTAGGTAAATTTTATGATTTGGGAGATTTTAGTGATTAATATCATTTTATCTAACACAACATATATCCACTGGTCTAGGAAGCTGTTAACACCAGTTTGAAACTTCTCTAGTGCTAAACATTAGATAGATACCTTTGTCACAGGACGAAGTTGGCAACTCTAGATATACAAATTATAATACCATCCATTAGTATTGGCAGGTGATGGGGAAGTCCTTAAACTTTAAAATACATGTATTACATGAACTAGCAAATAATCACTCTAGTGTGAAGATTCCACATGATGCTAACTTGAGAGATCCTTCTTCTCTGAAACTCTCCAAGGCTCCAAATTACAAAGACCAGCATTAAATAATTCTTATTTAAAATTCCATTTTCTAGTATCCATCTCCTAACTGGTATGAGTCAGAATAACTCAGATTGTGTTGAGTAAGCTGGAGTAAGCTCTTCTTGCAATCCTGACAAGCAGTAAAACTTGGTTACCATTATCCTAAACTTGTTGAGTATTTGTTTTCAATCCCCCATGTCATTCCCTCATTGAATGGCACCATGGATGTGAACAAATGCCCTCAGTCTCTGTGGACTCTCTTATATAGCTCTATTGGCTGAACCACTTTCCTTTCTAACCCTACAAGAAACAGTAAACTCAGACCTTCTGATTTAACATGAACCTTTTATTATTAATAAAAGCACATGATATATAATCCCAGCATTCAGAAGCCAAGAGGAAAGATGCCATGAATTAGTGTCATCCCTGGGCTAGAAAATAAAACAACAAAATAATTTTATTCAAGATAGTAAGGAGATGCCTAACAAATTCAACTTCTTTGCAGTCAGAAAAATCACATTTTAGGTACCTTTTTTTTTATTCCAACATTCTTCTGTTGGTGCAATTAAATTCTCTAAGCAGAAGCAACTCAGATAATTAATAGGTTTGTTTGTTTTGTTTTTTGTTGTTGTTTTGTTTTATTAATACCTCTAGGCCTCAGTCCCTCCTTGTGGGAGCTTAGGATAGAAGTCAAGCTAATAAATGAAGGGAAAATATAAGGAGGCATTGCTTCCTGGCTTTCTCTCTTGCTCTGTCACTGTCTCATCCTAAGCTAGCTCTCTTATCCAGCCCAGGCCCTCTTTCTTAGAGATATTACCAACT